TGAAAAATAATTTCAAGCACCCTCAGAGAGGGAAAGCTGTCACTACACCTTTAATTTCCAGACTTAGATTCACAGGTGGGTGGTACTTCATTATAAGCATCACTATAGGCTTTTAGACTTGTAGAGGCACAATGTCGCTATGGTAACCAGCAGGGTTTCCAGCAGCCTGCTATAAACACGATATTGATAAGAGCTGTGGGCTTATTACTGAATGTTTCCACAGACAGCAGGCCACACAGAAAAGCTTTAAGAAAACACGAGGGTCTTGAGACTGATGGATGCTAAAGGGGTATATTTCTGTTTGATCTCTCGCTGTCCGGAGCCGCCTTGAGGGAGGGGTGTCATATCAAAGAACAGCAAACATCTGCTCCGATCAATGTGATAGTGGACACATCCGAAAGCAGTTTTGGTGTAAAATGCACACCTAAGCTGATATTTCAGTCTGACATTTAAGAGGCATGATTGCAAAGAGATATACAGTGTGATGTGTTAAATCTTTCAAAAGAGTATGCAATTTTTTCCACATATTAGGTCTAACCTCTTCTGGCTCTGCAGTCGCAGCAGCAAGGCGTCCTTGGTGTGCTAGCTGTCCATAGTCAACAGTCACCTGAGAAGCAAGGCCACCGAGCTCTTCAGGGCAGGTTACCGATTTAGTCATCTGGCAATGGAGAGAACATACATCATCAACAGAGTCAGATTAATGGTTCTGTAACCCTACTGACAAATATTGTCATTGTAGATTGGAAAAGTAATGGAAAACACACAGAGCCAGGCATGAATATACTACTGCATCATTGCACTCACCATCTCCTGTGCAGTGATGGCAATGGCCTTGGAGAACTTCACCATGGTGGTCTGGTAGTCCACAAAGGAACCCTCAGGTTCAGGAGGAGTTCCTTCATCAACCTGTGAAGATCAACCTTAGTGCTTACTTATTTTAGGACTTAAATTGCTATCCTATGCATTTTTACACTAGGTACTCCCATTTATGTTGGTCTTTTGATTAAGTTTGGTACCACATTACAATAGCCTACTATAAAGGGTTTTTAGGTTTTAATGAATTATTTTATTCATTGATAAGAAAAAATTCAAGGGCCTAGTCTAAACTTAAGTAAGAAGCTCTGAAAAAAATTCTGCATTCTGTATTATATTTGCTTCATAGCCTTATAGCTATACTATACCTATAGTTTGTCAGCACACACTGAACTGAAGGATTACCTTGACTGCTCACCTGCAAATGCAACTGTTTTTTTTATTGGACGGCTTAGTAATGTACCCCTCCCATGGACTTTTTGATCCCCCTAATGCTTGGAAGACAGCTGCAGACCAAATCCAACCGTTAAATCTGTCTGATAAACATCTTGTCCAGATATATACATATAGTAATCTATTGTATATATTGCCCAATAAGAATTTGCAGTACAGAAATGGCCAAGACATGATTTAACATGATTTCTCCATTATATAATTTGTCCACCAGAGAGCACTAACAATTTTATTTATTTATCAAAAAACACTCAGTATATATCTTGGTCACAATTTATTAATGACCAAATTTGCTGTTATTTGCATATGTTAAAAAAAAGGATATATCGTTAACAGATGTTTCAACTCTCAAATACTGATATCTATGTCATCACAGTCAGGCTAAAGACCAAACGTACAACGTTTGGTAAATTCATGATGGCAAACTTGATGGATGTTGGTAATAAAGCATTGGGAATTTTCAAGAATACTCAACTAAGTTTGCAGCTGATAGTGTCAATAGGTTATAAATAAAAAGTAGGCCTTGTCACTCTATACATTATTGTAGGAGCTCAGGTAGTTCAGACCTAGTGTGATTCATTAGGGTGATTAGGGTGATGCACACCATTTGGCAACCAAAGTTCTTTTTATAGTACAACTTGTTAATTGATATATAATTTCTTAACAATTAAAAAGCAATTAGTGAGAACATATAAGCCGTTTTAGTGTATGCAGTCTTGTAAAGTGTTCCACTTTATATATGCTAATGGTGTTTTAATGAAGGTTGCTCTCGTATGTTTAAGTTAAGGGTAAAATAAAAAGCACAAGGAAGAGACATAAAAGCGAAGGATAAGATCTGAGCCAAGCGTATACATCTGAGTATGCGCAGATCATCTTTAATTATTAACCGCGCTGTCAACACAGTGACATGTCCCCCAGCAGGATGAATGACAGCTAACATCACCAGTGGGCTGTGGATTTAAAACTTGTCATCTACTGGACTAATGAGAGTCACTGACAAGGACACACTCTCAGCACACCCACTGTGGAATTACTCTTACAGGGAAAGCTCATTTTGCCTTCAGACAAATAAGATAGGGAATAACTGTCAACCTGAAATCATTTAAACCACCTGAGCAGACTTCTCATGAGATGGTATCACACACACACAACACATGCATTCTCTAACAAACCACAAACACACAAACACACCCTTACTCACCCTGCCCATGGCCTCAGCAATGGACTCTACCATGCCTCCAACCATGCCTCCCTCACTGGCTGCCTCATTCAGAGTCACCATGATGTCGTCCACAGCCTCCTTCATCAGCTGGGCTGCTTCAGAGATGGCATCGTGTGTGTGGGACGCCTGGGGACACAGTCAGCTGATTAGCGTTTCTGTGACACTGTCTTGGTCCAGCCAGAAGGAAATTTATCAGCTTGACAACAGCTCCAGAGTGTCCCTGCAGCTGGTAAGTACTCAGTGTCTCACTAAAGGACATTTCAACCATGCTGGGTTCTTCGCTGCAGTAAAGACTTGTACCACTGTATTTTAAAATAATTGTGTTGTAAATGTTTGTTCTGTACGAGTTTAATACGAGCAACTGACTTATAGCTGAATGAATAACATATAAGAGAGAATTACAAATCAGAGGCAGAGGGAAATTGTTAATGCTCAGAGATCTACCGACATTACTGTCTTGACCTGCTGAAATTTAGCTTATTATCACAGGTCACCCTTGAAATAGACATGAGGGTAGACTAAACACACAGTGTACTGCTTTGTACCTTTGGGTTTCCCCCTCCTTCCTTAGCAGCATAAAGCATCTGCAGGGCAGACTCAGACAGGGTCTTGGTCTGGTCTAGGATGGTCATCTGCTGCTGGTGGTCGTGCAGCTTAGAGGCCAGACCCACCGATGCCACAATGAGTGGATCGAAGTAACTGGCCAGCTGGGTCACCTGGGAGAATGAGTGTAAGAGAGCTGTTTGAGGAATGATTGGATCACAGGATAGAAAACAGACTAGAATGGGGTTTTTCTTTCCAAATCCAGACGGGATGAGGGGATATATGGTCAGACCAGCACCTTGTGTCCTAGTTGGGCAGCTTCGCCTCGGGCCGCTGTGGAGACAGGATCAATCAGATGCCCAATCTCCTGCACAGAGGATGTCAGCTGCTCCTGGAGTGCCTGGTGAGTTACAACGGCAGAGAATTATGTTATAAGTAACAACAGAAAGTCTACAGATCCCATTAAGTTCTTTCTCTCAGACAAGATTTAGCTGATGGGTACTTGAACTCACTTCCATGGAGATATCATCTCTGCAGGGCAAGGTCTGTCCAACTGCAGCTAGGGAAGCTTGCTCAATGTCCCGGATACACTTATTGATGTTATCAATGGAGTAATCGCACTCCCTCTGCCCTGGTGCCTTGTCCCTATCATCAGAAAAGTTGAAAAATACAAACATAAATACATATCTACATTATTGTGCAAATAAATATAAGTATAAATAGTAAAAAAAAAAAAAATGGTACAAAACCCCTATATAGTTGAAAGAATAGTTTGACAGTCCAGTCTTTATGCTAAGTTTAGCTAATCAGCTGCTAGCATCATATTCAGCATACAGACATGTGGGTGGTATCAATCTTCTCATCTAACTCCTGACAACAGAGCAAATAAATGTAGTTCCCTGAATAACGAATTATTCCTTTAAAGCATCTTGTCAGCCAGGGTATAATCATATGCAGTCTATTCTGGGCCTTAGCTGCTGTGAGAATAGTGTATGCATGTGACTGGAGGATGATAATGATGAAGATGGAAGTGGGTGGGGCACTACCTTTGATGAAATGTGCTACAGATCCAGCGTAGCTCATCATCTCATCACTGCTCTATACTGTTTACTAATCTATTACAAGGCAGCAGGAATCTCAGCAGATATAAACTAATGTGGCAATTTATTGCTTAGCTGAACAGACATCGCAGAATAAGCCCTCTGGTTTCAGAAACATTTATTTTCACCGACTGTGAGCAAACCATTATACACTTTGATTCAGGATAATCCTGCAGAGACAGATGTGGCAGTAGGTGGGATTAATACCAACCTGATGGAGGTGATGAGGCTCTTGATGGAATCAGAAACGGTTCTGGAGTGACCAGCTAGTATGGACCACGTGGGAGGATCTTTGGGGTTGAGGACCAGTGATCGGGCTGTTTCCAAAAGGTAAGTGGAGCTATCAAGCATGGAGCGGGCTGAACGCACAATAGGCTCCTGAGCTGCAGAGCCCTGTGGAAATTAAAAAGGTTTGTGCAGGTGCGACATCAGCCCAGGTAACAGCTTAACAGAGCAAACCACATTGGTATGACAGAGTTGTTAATATTCCTTGACTACCTGGGAGAGATCAAAGGTGCAATCAAAGGGAGGGATAAGATTAGAAAGACAGCTTTACACACATGCAGGAAGAAACACCTTCAGTCCTTATGATCCGAGCCAAAGCCTCCCTCGACAATTAGATTAACAAGCTGAAGATTAGAGCAGCTGTGCTGAGAGAGAGAGTGCCGTTAAACACTGCCCTCCAAAAGATTACAGCCATAAAGCTTTTAGGAGACTGTGCGAGAACTTGTTCCACTCAGATTGAAAAATAAAAATCCATCTTTCTCTTTGAGTCTTTTCATGATATTAAAAGAAAAGGGAAAATTGGACCTCAATCCAATCCTGCACCCCCCCACCATGTTCGGTGTACAAACCTTTCTGTGTTGGCTCATATATAAGTTTCTGTTTCAATTGATTTGAGTGGAGCAGTCCCAAACACATTCATTGAATCTCTCTGAAGTGTAGCTTCAAAATCCTCAGTAGGATGAGTGAAAAAAGAACAGAGAAGGTGAGAGCAAGCATCAAAATGGATGATTACCTCATTGCTGATCTGAGCTGGGATGCTCGCAAACTCAGGGTTATTGGCAAATGTTGACAGGTTTTCTACAGCCTCAAGAAGTGGGGTCGTAGCAACGCGGCACCTATTTCTGTTGTCTTCTGAAAAATCCCCATCTAAAGCCTGAAACAAGACAACATCGCAACGTCATATGAATATTTGTCCATTTTCGTAAGCCACCGAATTCTACACACATTCAAAGCTTCTCACATGACGAAAAAATTTTGTAACAAATTTACACTCAACGTTTTGATCGGTTGGGGAGTTGACCTTGATGGTTTTGACAAGGTTGGCTGTGGTGTTGGCCACCTCTTTGGCTGACTGGACAAACTGCCTCCTAGCCACAGGGTTGGATGTCTTAGAGGAGGCCAGGCGGCAGGCGTTACAGAGAGCTGAGGTGTGCTTCGCTACAATTGTTGCTGCAGACAAGACCTGACAAACAAACAAACAAACAAACACCAACAAATAGGACCAGAGTTGAATAAAATGAGGCATTCCGGTGAGGCTTGCAGAGTGAATTATTAAAGACATTCAGATCGATTTTAGGGTTTTCAAACTTAATGAGCCATTTAATTCAAGTCACAAGAGATCTATATACACCACTGCCCCGAGTGCAGTCCCAATATGCCAGGGAGTGGTCCTGCAATGTTTTCAAGCTCTGCATGGACCTTCTTACCTGTGATGGACTGCTGGCTGGGTCCACTAAGTTCTGACAAGCCATCTGTATAGCCTGGTGGGCCCTTGCAAACTGGATGGGATCCACCAGCCCCTCATGGCCTGACTGACTGTTGGGATCAGACACACCTACAAGATAAGAGGCCTACAGGGCAGAAACAAAAATCATATTAATGTTTCAGTTTGCCACTACACATGTTCTATATTGTCCTCGAAGATCCCATTTGTCGTCACAGACAAGCTAACACCCCCCTGCATGCAGTCCACGTTCTCTACATACATACATAAGTGCATAAATAGATACATAAATAGATTCATATTGTATACATGGTTTTGTTCCTGTGTACTCTGTATGTTGAAAGGACAATAAACAACCTTGAACCTAAAATGCTTAACAATTAGTTTTTCCTAATTTAAATGTAAAGTGATTATTTCTTCACAAAACAGGGTGAGCAGAAAAAGATAGCAGAAGAGCAGAAAGCTGAGATGAGAGCAGATGCATGGTAACTCAAAGTAAGTTAGTACCATACTGTGATCTCACCTGTCCTGCAGCCTCCGTCAGCCCACACAGAGCTTTGGACGCCACACCTACGCTCTCCCCGAAGGCTGCCACATCACCTGTCTTACAGTGCTGAGAAATGCCTGCCATTGACTCTCCTAGGACCTGAGGCGTTTGGAAATGGACTACAAATTAGATCTTCAGCTGGCTACTACGTAAAATATCTATGACAGGTAAAGTATACAGTTCACGTTGTTATTTTGAAAGCCTGTACCTTTGAATTCTCCATGACGCTCTCGATGCAGTCAAAGTAGGAGAGTTCGCTGACAGGCTCATTGGGATTATCTAGGAGGCCTCTGACAGCCTGTACACAGACAGAGACGATAATAAACTACAATGGACACACAACTGATTTTACACTTTTATCAGCAACTTAATTTAGATTAGAAAAAGGGAACATAATACATGTAAATCAAGCTGATTGGAATATACTACCTTGATAAATCAATATAATATACAGCCTTAGGTGTCACTTTCAGTTATTTGATCCACCTAGTTTCCCTGATTAAAACAGGCATGTACAGGCAACAGAAAACAGGCCTGAAGAGAAGAAGTCTGTGTGTGGTACAGTGTGTGTGAGGATGGCTACCTCCAACTCCCTCAAGGCGTTGTCACACTCCTTTTGTCCTGCTGCTTGCTGGGTACAGAGCGTGATCAGCTGGTTAATACTCTCTGTCACTGCCCTGAAACACACAGGCAGCCACACAGTCTTTTTAGCTCTCACATGTATACTCTGCATGCACGCACAGACTGGCTTCACTCACCCTCACTCACACATGCTTTTAGCTCCCCTATTCAAGCATGCCACTGCTGGCCTCTGACTGAGATAGGCTAACGCAGCGTACAGGAGTGCCGAGATTGTCTTGAGTTTGTGTTCAGCCTTGCTGAGCACAGACAGGCCCTAGCCAAAGCTTCCATCTTCCTAATTAGACAGAGAGAAGTCAGTCAGGCCCAAAGCCCTGCGGGACCAGCTGCTTGGCTTCTCACTAGGGGAAAAGATACCTACTCCCTCTAGCAATGCCTAACAGACACAGTTTAGGAGTGGCATGCATATGCAGCAGGGAGATGTCTTGTGACATTTAGGTATAACATTTTTCACAACTTTTCTACAGGCTCGAATCTGGAGCAGAATACATATTTAGGACACAATGGTTCAGTTTACTGATAGTTTGATATTCATTACAGACAAAATGAAGAGAATATCTGATACATGTAAGGTGCTATCTGCATCTTATCGCACCTTGCTGCCACAGCTAGAAGATTTTTGGCGTTGGCAGCACCTGGATCCACAGACAGAGACTTGGCAGCCAGCAGCAGCTTACTGGACGCCATGGAGATGTTCTTCAGATTACCAATGACTTGGATCTGGTCGTCCTGGCTCTGCACAGGCAAGGAATAAGAAAAATACAGGATTTTAAGATGGATTTAGAGCTCTGTTAAATATTATTATAAATACACACATTATTTATTGTATCAGCAACAGCTGTCAAGGGATAAAGTATTGGAAAGAATGCATTTAATGTGTCCCTACCACCTATATCCTATTTCCTCACTGAGCAGGCCTCTTTGAGCCTGATTAAAGCTTGGGTGTCATGCTACATCAACTCCAATCCCAGACGACCTTTCCAAATTAATGAGAAAATAACCAGAACAAGAACATCACAAGATCTCATTACATCTGACTGTGTTAGTGCTCTTTGGGACAATCATGTGCCTAAGTGAATTAGATAAAAAATGTCTAATTAACAAATTACTTAAGTAGCAGGTAATTTAGTCACACAAAAATATGTGCTCGGCCACTCAGTATTTATGACTTTTATGTTTATGAAGGTTTGAATGCACCTATGCACAAGTAAAATACTGGTGGCAGTGGATTACCGTTGAACTGTTTCAGTGGAGTGTGGAGGGGTTGTATGATCATGAAACCTACTTGGGTGTGTCCTGCCATCTCAATGCCAGCATCCAGGAACTCATCAAAGTCTTGGCTGAACTTCCCAGAGGCCGCAGCCAGCTGGCTGCTCGTTCCACGAGAGGAGTGGACGACCTCGCCTGCAGAGTGGTTGAGTTCAGCTGCTGTGTGGTTCAGATCAGTCTGGGCCTCCTGGAATGTCTTAATGCAGGGAGGGAGCTTCAAAGACAAGAGACACATAAATTAGGGCATACTGTAATACACATATCAAAAATCAAGTCAAATGGAAGTAACCTGTTTAGTTAGGTGTGATATTTTAATGTATGTGTTCAGTACAAATGTTTTTTGTAAATAAAAATACACTAAATGCCAAAAAAGTTTTAGGCCTGACTCACAATGTCCACCAGCAGCTTCTTACTGGCCTCTCCGATGCTCCTGAGGGCCATGTCAACATCCTTCTGGCCTGGCAGGCAGTTCACACAATTATTCAGGGAGTGCGACACTGCTTTGGCCACCTGAAACACAGCACAACGCCCAGTCAATGGACTGCCATTAGTTGTTTTAACAATGTGCTGTACACTACAAAGTCCCAGAGCAAAGCTATAAGGGGGAAAACATCTCAAATGCAAAATGGGCTCACAGCGGTGCACAATCTGTGTCACTAATTTATGCTGCTGTCACAGATATATGCCAAACAATATGTTTATCCCCTGAAGGGCTGCAGGAGAATGAGCAGTTTTATTCTGGCACTCCTGAGAGAGAAATACCAAGCGAGAGACAGAGCAGAGAGAAAATAGCAACGCTTAGAGGGGATGATTGTTATGGAAAGAAGAAATGTTTACAAATCAGTAGAGGGGAGAGGGGCCTGAGAGGAACAATATGATCGCTACATGAATATCACTGCCTTGGGGGTATATATTACTGGGAGCTATAGTGTGCTACCTGTGCCAGTCTCTGCTGACTCTCAGCATCTCCTGGATGAACCAGGGCCTGATGGGCTTCATGGATCAGCATGGCCGAGCCCTCCATGACATACTGGGCTGAGTCCAGCATTGCAGCTGCAGCCTGGGGCTCCCTGGTGCTGGCTGCCACTCCTCTGGCTGCCTGAGCCAATGTCCTTAAAGCCTGTGCTGTTTCTCTGGCAGCCACACCTGTGAACAACCATCCACACATTAAAATGATGATAATGATCATAAGGACAACAATAGAGAGAATACCATGAAGCCAACCAAATAATATCAGTATAATAACAGTATGAGTAAATATAAGAATGTGATACAGCCTAACCATTTCATGTGCATAACAGATCTACTGTACTAACTAGGGATGTTACACAGGTATAATATTTTACAGATTACAGATTTTACAGATACAGGAAACATGATGTTGACGTTCTCCTGTGTTGAACATTGTTATGTAGTGAGAGTAAGTAACCATGTCTCTGTAGAAATTGAGACTGACATTTTACAAAACAAATTAATTTCAGTCTCATTAGTTTCTGCAGCAGTCCTGCTTAAGCAACACAAACCGAGAGGTATGTGTATTTCCTGACTCATAATTGTAATAGCATTGTGCACATCAGCTGGCAGGGGCTAGCCGTACCACACTGAGAACAAACTGTGATACTGAAATGCCCTCATTGTTTAAATAAATGAGTTAATATAATAAATATGGCCCCCGCATGGGAGGTGCCCTTAACTTATTATACACAGAGCTGAGAAGAAAAGCAGCAAATTGCATCAAATTGCATTAACCAGCCAAGTGGAGCCATTTGCTGATGGAATGTTAAATCTAGTGAAAATAAGATTAATGAGTAGCGAACAGCACCCTGGGCCACAGCATGAAGTGCTGCCTGGGAGCGTTCATTGTCAGAAATGCTTTTCTCTATCTGTCTTCATCTCTCCTCCCCTGAGATCCCCAATTGAGCCAGAAATGACAGCAAAAAAGCCATGCCATGCTGAATTCAGAGGGTTCAGTTTAAGGCAATAGCGATAGCCCACATAAAGGAGTCATCATTTTCTCTGTCTGCTTTTTCCTCACACTGCCAGTTGGCACAGTTTAAATAAACTTTTTTCAATAAAATTACAGTCAGCAATGCATAAATATATATTTATTAGAGTGATCGGCTCTGGCATTGTAACTATTCTTCCTACTAATAATTTTATGAAATGGCTACTTTAGCATCTGAGGCCCGCTCTCTGTGTAGAATACACTTCTCTTACCTGTATAATGTTCATTGCCTTGTGCAGCACATGTCAGCAACTGGGCCATGGAGGAGCCCACAGCCTTAGATGTACTTCCTAAATCCTGAGCACACTTCTCCAGCTGTGTGAGCAACAGAACAAACAAATAACCCACTAGATTCATAGTTGTGATCTCCTCATCATGTTGGTATTTCTACAGTTTGATATCTATTCCATAATGTATTAACTGAACTTCACAGTAGATGTTGTACTGACCGTTTCCCCGGGAAGAGGTTTGAGTTGGCCATCAATGACAGACATCTTGGCATCCTGAAGCTCACACTTGAGTGTCTGTACAGTTTTGAGGGCTGAATCGATCTCCAGAGGACCACAGGCTTCATGGGCCTTCAAACAGCACACATAAATGTTACTTACATGCTCCTATGCCGATGCCTATATACTGTGCTTGGTATCTCTACGGGAGATCAAAGAGACTTACACAAGTGCAGCCTTACAACAAACATTTCATGGAGATAGCAACAAATGTACTGCATCAGTGAGATGAATCCTGCTATCTCTAACAGTGTTATGTACAGATACCTTCTGGGTGGCAGTCCTGAGCTCAGCCAGGCAGGTAGCCAAGTTCTTGGCACACTGGCCCAGTTGCATAGCAGCAGCCTGGTCAGCCACCGTTGGAACTGCTGACTTTGCAGACGTCACCATCTTACTTCCAGGCTAAGTGGATGGTGACAGAAAAACAACAACTTCAACAGCAATTTTATAAAGAAGCAGGATTTGTGTAACTGATGACAGAGAGTTTGATAGTTGCTGACGATGTCATGGTGAAAGATCTAACCTGTAAGAAGCTCTGGCTAGCCATTATGAGGGCAAGCTGGGCACCAAGTTCCTCTGGCTGTGCTTGGCTGCTCCTCATCCCCTGCACCAACTGGGGAATGCTATCTGCTACTGCCTGCATTTAAACATACCTTTAATGTATGCTTCATATTCACATCATCATGATTGAAAGAGAAAAGCGCTGTCAAGACTACCAAAGCACACACATTTGATTTTTTATTATTTTTTAATACAAAAGTAAAAAGAGTGCATGATCATACCTTGCAGCTGTGTACTAGCTGTTGGTGTGAGACAGTATTTTTGTTGGAGGCAGCAGCATTTTGAGCAGCTGCGATGGTCTGAGTAGCTGCAGCCGCTGCCTGCTTAGCAGCTATCTGTTCAGGAGATACAAATGGAAATCATTTAGGCTAAAGTAAGAGAGTGGTGCCTGGCTGAGAGTAACATTATTTACTCTGTGCAGTATCATGCTGTCATGTTTTGTACTCAGACAGAGTTATCATCGAACTTAGCGTCACAAACCAAGCGTTTTGTAAGAAGAGGGAAATGGGTGGGGTTGCACTGCTCATTCTTTATATCGTAAGAGCATTGCTTTCCACTTGCCATGTTTCCAAAACTAAAGCACTAAAAATATAGTGCTTAGCTCATATTAATTCAGAGAAACAAGACAAGTTGCGAAGTGATGAAGACAGAGGGAGAAGACATTCCTTGTTGAGTGGATAAGGAGAAACGCAGAATAAATTATAACATTATACTAATAGAAAACCTGTATGGTGTATTGTAGTCTCTATATTTTAAATATTCTATATGGAATGCTGTATTTATTTCTAAATAAAAGCATGTGCACATCTGCACAGTAACTTAATAACACTGTATCAGGAGACAACAGGTAAGATTAAAGGGTTCTTAGGGGGCCTAAATGTGAATGTGATAATTGTGACATGCACACTTGCAGATTCATGACACTATGGCCTCCATTGGCTCACACATTTATTTGATGGAGTCAACCATTAGCACCATTACTGTGACCATCTGATGAAAGGAGGCGGACTGAGATATATGTCTGATAGCAGGCTGATCCCAGCCCTGGGTAATGCATAGTTTATGTGTTTGGGAAATTGAACATTGGGTGCTCTGAAGCAGAGAGGGGATAGTCATTAGGGGCAAACTGATACCAAAGGCTAAACACAGATCTTTACACTCAGATAGTTGACTCACAGCACTAATGGGATTTATAGCTCACTTCAGGAAACGGGAAAACAACACAGAAAAATATAGTAAATGGGCCATATTTGTACAAATGACTGCTGAGGCATTTTATTATTCGCATTCTGTCATGTGTTCCCTTTATCCTAATGTCTAAACTCTCCATTTATTTCTACTTCATTTTTACGTTGCTTATACTAAAGAGATGAAAAGTGGGAAAAAGATGTTTGCGTGACATCTTTGCTGCTAAGGGAAGGGCGGCTGTGTTTTGATCAAGGTCAAACAACACATGGATGAGAACATGTTGACTCTTATGATTCACCTCCAGCCTGTTGACCAGTTTTTTCTTAATGGCATTCTGAGCTGCAGCATTAGTGGCTACACGTAGCCCCTCAGCTGCCTCTCTGAGCCTCTGCTGCTGGTCCTCATTCTCTGGGTAGGCAGCCGCCCCCTGAGAGAACATAAACACACACACATATGATCATGACACATCCATACAGTGTACAACAGTAGCTATCAGATCTCAGCAATAAGGTTTAACAACTGTGGTTATACACGTTGCACAATAGATGCAAAGAGGCATTTAGCTCTGTCTGCTTTCTGACAGTTTCCAAGGAAACCGTGAGTACCAGATTCCCACTTCCTCTTTGATAACGGCATTGATGTGGTGATTAATGTGTCACAGATCAAAAACATCTAACGTGCCATAAGCAGTGTTGCTCTTGCCTGGGTATTTCACACTGATAATATCCTGCTCAACAGTGCCAGGGGCTTATTAAGAGTCACTGATGATGCTGCACACATTTTTATTTTGGATGTGACATGATGCTGGTAGTTAGTGCATACAGTAATGCCAAAATGTGTATTCTATCAAATTAAAGCATTTCAGTTCAGTTCATCTTTTAGCCCCGCTTTCCACATGACATTAGAGATGCAGGAACATCATAGCAGTGCTGACAGAAGAAGAGAAAAGCTGAATAAGATGCACAATTTGTTGTGAATCAAACAGTTTATAATGAAGTTTAACTAATTTACTAACTAATTTAGAATAAAGGACTTATTAAACTACAAAAGAAATCTAATAATGACAGAAAGCATATTAGATTAGGGTTTTAAGCTGAAGTATTTCACTACATTACATTACTATTTACATGCTTAAGCAAATCATCAATCATATTTGTTGCGTTATATTGTGACACTCTCACCTTAGCAGCCTCCACCATCCTAGCTGTGGCATCAGCCAGGAGTTTGGCTGCAGCCAGCAGTTTCTTGGAGTTGTCAACATCAACTTCGGCCTCTGCATCAGATCTCATGGCATTGACCAAGTCAGAGGTGGCCTGGGCCAACACTCTGGCCTGACGCACCATCTCACCTGTTCACGCATACAGACATAATATATGTAAGTTCATAAAGATGGCTGTTGGTCAGAGTTTTGCCAGTATACCAGTAATACCAGTATACTGTTTGAATATTGTGAAATATTAAATTTTCTGGATGTTCAGTAGAAACTGCCGAGATCAATGGAAATGGGCTTATGTGATGATTTAAATATCTAAATAAATATATAAATATATGAAATAATTTATAATATTTGATGTAAAAATCCTATACATCCAATACTGAGTTGAAGCAGTCTTGTTCGCTGATTTGCAGCGTTTCCCACAACAGCATAATAAGACCAGAGATATTGAAGGGGTAATTATTTCAGTAGAAACGGTGTGACACATTTTCTGACAGTTGACAAATGAATATCGTCTTATGGTATATATCATCATATCTCCCAACCCTAGTGCATCACTAAGACATTTCTGTAAGTGTCCTAGTATTGTGGAGACACATTATTGTTTTCACCTTCATGAACTTTTATAGCTGAAGGTTTCCAGTGAGTCATCCTCTCTTATACAAATGAAAGTCTCTGGAATATATGTAACATCTCCCCACACACCTGCTATAAAAAGCTGTCTTTCCCAAACACCCACCTACAGCTCGAAATAACACACCCAGAGAAGTATATGAAAGACAAGACATCTAGGTGATTTACAACCTACATTCAATGGCCTTGAGACTCAACCAATACACTATCTGTAGAATGAACTTGAATCACTGAATGCCGATCTTCTGCTGCTTTTTTTCTCCTCGTTGATTTATAGAAGGTAAAAGGTTTGTCCTTCCAAAAATGCCCAGGTCATGTGTTTCCCTTTAAGTTTCAAAGCCTCCCTGATGCTGATTGAGACCAGATTGAGAGCTCTGTAGTGGTTTTGAATGACATGTTTCCTACAACCCCTTGAGAATTGGCTGGGTTTGGAAATTCTTCAGCCTCATGGCTCAAACCATAACAAAGAGCTTGAGGTTTTTTAGATCACTTAACATGGACACAAATACACACAATATCTTGAGGCCCTATTATGAAGTTCAAAAGAGAACAAGTCAAGTGAAAGCAGGTATTCATTAAACGTCACCTGATTTATTACTGTCCCCACTGTGAGTAAACAGATGAACTGAAGAGACAGATAAAAAGCATTTTTAAAGGGAATTCACCCACAACATTCTCTAGCCTCGAGTACTTCTTTTTTGTACTCACCAGCATCACCCATTGAAGTGAAAATGTTTTCTGTCACGTTCATGATTGTGTCTGTGGCCTGGTCGTAACGTCCAATGGGCTCCCCACAGCTGGCATAATGGCGGACATGCTGCAGCAGGTCAGTGAGGGCCTGGCTCACCACACCAGCTGCTGCCCCGACTTGCTTCAGCAGCTCGCCATCGTCGCTGGCCGACCGGCAAGCCTTGACACAGGTTTCCACAGAGCGGTCCACCAGCTTCCCTGCCTCGACAAGCTGCTCCTGACACACTGGGGAGCTGATGGTTGGGCTTACCACCTGTATCACACACACAGTTGTTGGCAGTAACTCAAATTAATTACAAGAGTTGAAGACTATTATGATATTAGACAGACTACATCCATTCTTTTTTTGTTTCATCTAACCAATCACATCAATGAAACTGTTATTTATTAGTTCCTTACATATACATATACATATATAGCAGCAAAGGCCATGGTACAGGGAGCACCAGCTCTACCAGGTGAGCTATCCGGGCAGCCATTATTCATTAGTTTCTGATCACAAAATCACTTATTTTAGTCAAGATATGACACAAAGTAAAAAAAGTATTGGCCAGTGTCACACATTCTGCTTGGATCAGTTCCTGCCTATTGGTATGTCCTTTATCTACTTGGCTACTGAGATGAATAAGTTTTAGACCAGTACCTTGGTGCAGGCTACCAGCTGTGAGGTGGACAGGGCACACTGAGTGGCAGCTGCAATCACCCGGTTCTGCAATATGGTGTCCTCAGCTACCTGGGCCACGTTCTTGGCCTTCAGGACCAACATAGCAGCTGCATTGGCGACTGCTTTGGCCAGATTCATCAGGGTGTCCTGCAACATATTAATCAATGTCCTTCACTGAAACACAGCACAGCTGCACACATGTGACTGAAGGGACCAAGAAAGTAAATGTTTCTAACTCATGTTGTTCAGTTGATATAGTGTGAATACTGGATATTTAATGCACAAAGAACAGTATGACAGTAAAAACAACTTAAACAAGAGGCAGATTGTGATTATGAATTTTACGAGGTAAATAATAAATCATATCTGTGTTATTAAGTAAAGCAATTTGATTAGAAACTACTACATTGTCTTTTTGTAGTAGAAGAGTTTTTGCCATATTCATGAGACCAAGAATAGGGATGTTATATGAGCCCTCTTCTCCAGGGATTAACACTTAAGAGAGTGGAATCAATGCTGTGAGAATACATCTAGGAACTAAAAATGTGTACTTGTATGTGGAAGGTAAATGTATTGTCATGAAATCTGCATAGTAACAGTCTAATAATAAAACCCTGACATGATTACTAAAGCGTGTATTGACATTTTTAAAGGGGGGGGGGTGTAATCTGTGTGTGTGTCTTCCTGTTTGGCCAGCAGTGTCATAGAAACAGTGAGTGGGCGGTGTCCAACCTGGAACTTCTCATCGGTCTCGCCCTCCCCCATGTGACGGAGGAGGTCCCCGCTGGCCTGTCCGATGCTTCCTGCCGCAGTAAGCACCGTCTGTCTGGGCTGTACAAGGATGACATCACCACATTCATTACACTGGCCTGGCCTGTTCTCTCCCAGGCCTCTATGAATTATCTGAAACAGACTTCTGGATCAAAAATCATCTTCACTGGGACACTGATGAAAAGAAAAGCATGCAGTTAACACTGTATGTGGCTTTGTGGCTACCGGGATTCCAGCGGAGGTTCAAGTCTAAGTCACTATAGTAATCAGTGGGTGTCTCACCTCAGCGGCTGCAGGCTCAACAGATCTGAGAAGATCTGACACAGCTCCTGCCAGCATCCTGGCAGCACCCATGAGCTTGTGTCCACTGCCCACCTCATCGTCCATTAACGCCGCTAGCAGCTTAACACCCTTAGACATTTCCGTGAGGTTGGAGGAAATGGTGGTGATGGCGCAGCCTACTGCTGTGTAGTCAGTTTCTGTGGGCTCACCTGCAAAGGATAGATCGCCATCATTACAAACTACATCTCTGCTGTGCATCTTAATTTGTTGTGCTGCTGCCACGTTCATTTAGCTAATCTGAGGGGCAGCTTGCGTGTCACATGCTGTAACACACACATCAGTGTCAGTGTCATAATTAGAGCCTATTTAAAATGGTTCCACAGAGATGAGCATGCTGATGGAGCAAGTGGCCATGAAGAAGAAAAAACTTTGTATTAGCTAGTGGAGGGAGTATAAGTGCTACCAAACAGATGGCGAGGTGAGATTAGAACCCTGCAAAAGACTGGCAGAAACTTGAATGACATTGTGCCAAGCAACACGGGGAGCAAAGAGAGATACTGCAAATAAATTGAGCTTCAGTAGAAATTAAAGATTTATGTATTAGTTGAAATATTTATCCAGGAAAATCAGGTGAATGCGCCTTTGTTGATAATTAGTGAGAGCTCAACAGTGACTTCGAAAACATTTTTATTGAGTCTGGCCTTTTTACAATAATGTAAACATAAACAGCATTTTTAATAATAGGGCAATTTCCTTTAGAGCTTTGTCCAGCGCAGACTACATAAACCAGAATTCTGGTGTAGAAATAAATGAAAACTGAAAATGATTGCATGTTGCATCTCTCAGCTGTTTAGTATTCTCCTGGGCACTCACCTGCTGTGAGATTGACCACAGATGCTGTTCCAGCAGTGATGGCATCAACTTGAGAGTGGATTTCATGTTTGGATTCATCCACTTTGTTCTGAACCCAAACCCTGGATGCCTTTTGGTGGAGGAGGAAAAGGAGAGTGATTGGCTTTCATCACAGTGGGTGATTTTCAGCTCATATAAACTTTGTTGTGCAGGATTAAAGGACTAGGGTTGTTCAACACCTACAGCTTTGGAAACACTCAAGCATTAAATACAGCCCCCATATTTACAGTAATTTCTATATCCTAATTATATTTGAGAAATATTATAGACTTTGATGTGATGCGAATGCTTCATTCTATCTAATCTTCATGAGTTATAAAAGTGGAACTGGAGTTGCTGTAAATTATGGGATGAGGGGGAGTATCGTATCTATCCATGCTGCATCCATCCTTAAAATATTTTTTGAAATTGTGTAGTGAATGGAAAGCAGACTTACCAAGTCGTGGCCCAGGGGAGGCAGATTATCTACATATCCCAGGTCAGCCTGAGCCTGCTGCACAGCCTGCATACTGCTGTTGATGGTCCCCATCAGGGCCTGCTGAGCTAGACTCTGACAATACAAATAACAGAGACACACAGTGTGCAATTGACTAAATAAAAGCAATCTAAATACACGGTATGTATTGTATGTGGGTGCATAACTGTGAAATTCTCAGTCTTGTAAACTAATGTCTATAAACCGCAGGAGACAAATGGGCTTTTAGTGGGAGTATGAGGAACTTTTCATCTAATCTCCCAGCCCTCTTCATATTGTTCATTGTGGAGTACTATTTCAAATGCTGCAGTTAAAATTAATTTACATAAAATGTAAATGTGAGAATGATCTCAACTGTTTGGATATTAAAAAAAAATAGACAATTGAGCAAAGCACATTTTTTGATTCTTGTAGTTCAGTTTTCTAATTGCACAGATTGGCCCAAGGTTGGATGCTACTGCTATTTCATGTCAAAATATGGTGACACAGGGGGAATACGACATTTGTCCAGGACAGCAGGTTTGCTTGCGAGCGAAATTGCTATACTCACCAGTGGGGGCATGTGTCCTCTGTGCATCTGCCCTGTGGTGATTTGCTGCTGAGCAGAGGGCATAGTGCCCACATTGAAGGTGTCAGGGCCACCAATAGACCCAGACCGAATTATGCCCGGAAGTGCTACTGAGCCATGCTCCACACGACCGACCCGATTAAACTGCTGCTGCAAAATTGTGGACCTTATACAGGAGAAAATGAGAAAGGAAGTGCAAGTTGAATTTCATAAACACACCTTAATCAGGAAGTTGTTTCATTGTGTTTTTTTCATTGTGTATGTATATTTAACATACGTGCACAGGATGCACACAGATGCATTCAAACCTTTTGGTTATGTGTAAAACTAAAGACTAACTCTAATTTGGAGGTGTTCTGGTATTGACTATTTTCCTTTGTGCTACTTGTGAGTGGTTCTCTGAATTCTGATAATTGTTCTAGATGATTGAACTGTTACAAAATAATAAATAAAATAATTATCATGCTAACAACTGTTCCCACAGTGAGTAGGCATTGTCAGAAAAAATATTGTACGAAAAAATGTCTGTTTTCCTGCCCAGCTCAACAGATGCTCCTGACTCCATTGGTTAATTATGGCTTGTTTTGAGAAGCAGCAATTATGTTTTTGTGCTGAGAACCACAACATGAGTCAATTGGCCCATAAGCAGCAGGAATATGATGCCCCATTCTGCCAGAGAGGGGATCACTAAGAGCCATGTTGATTTTCAGCGACAACAAATTTCCATGCTCTGTGTGATAGAGCCCTGGTCCATCAGTGTTACTTCATTTCAGTCATCAATCATCAGTTACTAAGCTAGATTGGGAAAATCAGGAGGAACGGCAACCAACTGAGAGAAAAGAATTACTGAATTAACAAGCTTCGAACCAGATGATATCTTAACCTGCGTGATATCTTAACTTAACACTAAATGATGCAGCTTTCTTTTGGGAAATAAGATGATAATTTAGTGGCTTTACCCTGAGGCAGGTTTTGTGTTTAGGTTTGCAAAAACAAAAATTGTACAAGAAAGCAAATTTAACAAATTGTATTCTTTAATACTGTGAACGGTGTTAGTTTTATGTTGTTGCTGTATTTGTGTTTGATTCTAACATTACCTCTTTTGGACGTACTATGATGGGCAGGCAGAAATGTAATTACGTGCACAGTGAGGTTAAAATTCATGAAGGATAACTAGACTGTGTTCGCTGAATCAGAATTGTCAGTATACAATAGAGTAGATAACACATGTGTACTACTCACTTCTTAGGGGATACCGATTCCTCCAGCATGGTGGATTCCTCGTCTCCCTCAAGGCCAAAGCGATCCTTACTCTGCTTCTGTAGAAACAGATGTCACAGTGAACAATATAGGATAAATGTATGGAGAATTATAAGTATGTTGTATTAATTCATTTTTACATTTGATTTGGAATTACTTGCCTTCTTAAGAATGATATCAATGTATCCAGCAATAAGTTGGGATATCTGCTCTCCCTCTGTAGTCTGGACAGAGTAGTAACTCTCCTGGTACTCTCCGAAATCCTTTGTAATGCAGACAGCAGAGATTCAGGGCAAACTATTTTGACATCTATCTAGCATTGCTAAAACATTCTATACTGCACCTAATAAGAGCCTCACAGCCTGAATATACTTGGCAACACCTTCATTATTTCCACCCTTAATGAAAAGAAAAATTGACTGGCTTCTATGTCGCATCCTATTCCTCCAAAGAGCTGATAATATTAAAAATATTAGATGTAGTGAATCTCAAAACTCACTTCAAGGCATTCTACAGAAATGCAAGGGTGAATATTTTTGGGTTAAATCAATGTTGGCAAATATACCTTAGAGTATTTTTAAAATTTGCATAATCTATTAATCTTTAAATGCATTGCTCCTTTCCAATATGGGAGGAAAACAGACAGTACTGTTTCCAATAGCTGGTAAAGAAAATTGAAAAAGCTTTCAGATAAATAATACATCCAAATACTGCACAGGGCATCTATTGTTAACTCAGATGAAATAGCCGGCTAGCGTGCTGAATACATTCAATATTGGAGTCTGAGGTCTAAATAATTTTTCGGATGCTGTTTGTGTTGGAAAATGAAACTAGGGGAAAGAGATTGAATATGTGATGAAGAACTGTGTAAATCACAGTATGCACATAATAACTGAATATGTGCACAGCATTAGGAGCGTATAACATCTGATTCTTCCAAGTAATGCTGAGGACTTGATGCAGAGAGTCACACAGTACCAGGGTGAAGCTTTTGGGGGAGGCAGCCCATCTCTTGACAGTTGTCAGAGGCCACTCCTGCACCACATCCTTCGTCTTCTCTTCCACTCGCATCACTGACTCCTTGGTTATCCCCAGCAGCCGCGGGACCAGTTTATTTTTACCCTTCATCTTTTCCTGTCAGATAGGGAAACATCAGACAACAGTTATGTCGGTGCTAAACACCTACACAGATGATTCATTCAAAGGCGCAAACGCAAAATCGTTATGCCATTCTGCTGGTGCTGTCGTAATACAAATGCTGTGTCTATGGCTTAAAGCCCCAAATGGAAGAGGAGAAGGGGCAGCTGTGAACTGACCCAGCAGAGTTCAGGCTTGTTTAACTGCTGCTTTATTGAACAGGGTCTCCACAGGCTTTAGTCACTGTCAGCACACCAGCATGGTGCTTCCACCAGCTCTCTGCCTGACCAGCTCCAGTGCCCTCCACTCTCTGCCCACTGAAAATCTATTACAGCTCACTTCAGAGACTGAGCCTACACTTGGCTCCCCTCCAGGGGTGCAGAGGACGACACAAAAATTAGCGGTTTGTAGAGACGGGGGAGTTTGGAATACGTACATTTTATGTCTCTGTGGGCTATTGTTTTTTTTTTTTATCACTGGGTCAAAATGCAGAGCTCTGAGAATCGCACAAAAGGCCAATAAGTAAAACAGCTTCCAGGTTCAGGGCTCTTAAGCACAAGGGCAGATAACATTATTCCAGTGTTCATGATATATTTGTATTAAGGTTTATTAAAAACTTCCATTGTTTTAGGTTACATTACTTGAACGTCACAATTATCAAGGCTGTATTCAGGCAGGAAGTCTGATTTTCTAATCTGAAGTGGGCAGCTGAGGTATTATATTATTTCAAACTGTTTAACCTTGATTGTTGCTTGGGAAAATCTGCTTCTGCAAAAGATCACAATAGGAATGGGGGGGGGGGTGTTCTATTGTACACACCTGCATGCATGGCTGCAGCAAACACACACATACATACAGGCTTATTTACTTTCCATGTACGGTATTTCCATATCTGTAAGGTTTACAGCAATAGAGGGCTTGCCAACCTAGAACCTGCAGTGATTAAAGACTGACAGACGAGAAATGGGAGGTTACAATAAACTCTCAGATGTGCCTCAACAAAGCCAGGTCTGTGCTTTTGCCTCTGCTAGCATCAAGAGCAGAGTGCAGCTGGAGTGAATTATTTAACAGAGTCTTGAAGAAATCTCCATCACTACATCTCCTCATCGAACACTGACAGTGCTCGTACGTGTAGTTGCACACGCAGTCTGCCATAAACACACACACACACACAAAGATAATCTGAACCCTGCAGTCTGCTTTAACTACGGGGCCAAACATTCCATTTATCATCCATTAAGACTCCAGCAGACAACTGTACTCTTCCTTTTTTTCCCCTCTTTCCTGCAAGTTTGTAACCAAATGGGCTGCTGTCAGAGTGCTTTTATAATACCTGCTGGTGCGACTTCATCCCATTCACATGCCGCACTTCCATTCCACTTTTGTGTTCGCCAAACCAGAACAGAACAGAATTGCTATTGTCACAAGTATTTCAGAGTAGGCTGCTGAACTGCAAACGCACAAGCTTCCACTCTGAAGCTTCTGATTTGTTGTTATAATGTGGTTTTTGGTGTTTTCAACAAGCTTTCATACCTGTTTGACAGCACAGAGCATATCCAAACAGCTTTCTAATCACAGCTGCCACTCATTAGTACGGAAGCATTACGTGCCTGTTTTCGAAAACCAGATGTATCGTTAAATTGAGATTGCTCCATGATTAGTGTAGGAAGATTCAGATTTTATTTTCATATTTGCCTTATTTGTCAGTTATGGTAACATTGTACTGTATGTACTGTAAGTTAACTGCTAAGACCTGCAAATGTGGCAACATTACTACAGCAAAGTTAAACGTGGGCAAGGAACATAAGCGATCAGATGATCACAGTTGTAAAAAAGATTATCAACCACTTTGTCTGGAGCTAAAAACAAAACGTGAGTGCCAATGGGAATGCATAACAATCCTTCTTAAAGTTTTTTTTTTTTTTTTGGCCTTTTATTGCTTTTATTGATAGGGACAGCCAAAGATAGACAGGAAAGGGGGGTAGAGAGAGGGGATGACATGCAGCAAAGGGCCACAGGTCGGATTCAAACCCTGGGCCCGCTGCAGCAACTCAGTATATGGGTCGCCAGCTCTACCGACTTGAGCTAACCGGGCGCCAACAATCCTTCTTTACACACAACTAATACAAGCATTGTAGGTCAAAGTTGAAACAGGAAGTCTTTTACAAAGGTTTGGTTTTACCATTTGACTTTGTTTGGTTTGGCTTCACTTGGGGTTAATTTACAATCTGTATGATCATCTGACTGCTTGTGTCTCCTCTGACTTATTTTTAGTGAGGTTTAGCTGCATTTCAAGATCTCATAAAATAAACTTGTTGACTACAATAGAAATGATGATAATAATTATCCTTTAATGTTGGAAATATTTTTTATGGCAATGTGAGCATATTGTCTGCTGTGCTTATAAATCCAATACCTGCAATACACGTCATTTAGCATGGTTCCAGCTCTTACCTTCACCAGGAAGAAGGAAACTCCATATGTCTGCAGGGACCTGGCGAGCTTCACATACTTTACTTTTGCCTCAATCTCCGTCATCTCTCCACAGTTTTTATGTTCCTGATCAAAAACAGCAGTTCACCTCCTTAGATATTACATATGTTATGTTACATTAGGTGATCTACATGTTTTATATTTTGTCAATTTATGCCTCAACAGAGAACCAATTACTATAATTCCCATGGGCCACCCCCAGTTTCAAACACATTATTTTCTTTAAATGCAACATTCCAGCATTGTAATGTACATACTTGGAATATTTTCTTCTCGGACCCTCTCTGCTTGATGTACTCTTTTGGTAGGAACTCCTTCAGGCTACAGAGATAAATGACATTTTTACATGGTTACCCTTTTGAGCTACAGGCATTTCCTTTTCTATTAACATACCTCTACATATGAGGTCATTCTTGCCCTACTGCCTACATATCAGAAAACAGTTGTAACAGCTGACATCACCCCTGAGCTTTCCACTGGAGGAAATCCCTGAAGCAACAGCCAGTGCTGAAGCAGGAGATAACCACTGTATATGTACAGCTGTGACCTGAACATATGAAAGCATAACATGCTGTACAGTTATTGTGAATGTTGGTGTTAATGCATCTCTTGGATAGGAAAAACTTACTCCAGGAATCCGGGCTTGTGTTTGTGCTCCGCGTGGGGTCCGAACTGGATCTGAGCCTGGATCCCTGCAAACTCACAGGCCTTATCAAAGGAGACAGGGTGGGATCCATTCAATATATCATCCCTTGCCTGGAGGAGACATGATCAGAGGTGGGAGGTGTAAGTGAGAGGCAGAAACACACATCCAGCAAAAAGGATAGAACTACAAAGGCACGAGAATTACACAAAATTCACCTAACACCCAACAGAGCTCCATAATGAGCACTTCATTGTGCGCTTTGAATGCAGTGTGGCTTCAGAGAGGATGTCTTCCAGGTGAATGACTAAGTGTATTTCTAGAGCAGGGACATCGTAACTGAGACTCATGCACACAGGGGAGCCAGATAAGATTTGTTTGTGACAATAAACGCCATTCTGCTGGCTTCAAATGTAGCGGCTCCAACAATTTGTCATCACAGCCCATTACATGTTATTAAAAAGGAAAACACATTACAGAAATCAGTCTTTCACAATATTCCATCTGCATTACAGAATGGCCCTCAATATGTTTTTTTTTTTCAGTGAGAAAAAAAAAGGAAAAAAAGGCCTATGCCCCTTTGGAGCTGCTGAGACATCACTTATGTTTCAATGCATTTTCAGCCAGGCTGTCTACATTATCTTCACCATTTAGGTAGATGGAAAGGGAGAAGCCTTTGTTGACATCTTTCAAATGGTTGTCAATGTGTGCTGTTTTCTCCAGGGGGTAGTCAGCTCTGCCCTCTCTCTCTTTCTGTCCTCTCTCACTACCTCTTTCTAGCTCACTGCTGCAAAATTAATGGCTCCAAAAGCTGAGAGGCCTCGGTGACAGTGAGAAAGGCTCCATCAGTGCTTTTAGCATTAGCATATCGGTGCACTGTGTGGATTCCTTCTTACGTCCCATTACATCAATGAAAAACTAAGCAGCAGCTTACGGCTGTAATGAGGACAACAATCTCCTCCACTCACAATCAAGTCCCTTCCCCAGTGCAATTCACAGTGGAGTACATAAGCTCTTACTTAATACAAGAAGACACTCTAAAATTAGCCCTCACACATGCCATTCACTCTGGTACACACTATTCACAAGATGGTATTATTGTGTGAGTAAGATGCAAGGAGTAATGGAAGAATAAGATTTAAGGGTTATATTTTTAAAGTAAGTATTGCTTGGTGGACACAGATTAGTTATAGAGTATAATGAATTTACCCAAGTGCCCCAGTTATTTAGAAAACTTATTTAGGCTACAAGAGAGTTTGGAGTTTATAAGCCCCACAGATACACAGAAAATGTAGAGTATAGCACAGCTACGGTAGATACCAATGCTTTGTGTTATTCACACTAGTATGTTATTATCATTTTTTGGTGTATCCTGGTTATCTGTTTGCGTATGCAAATTTAGTTTCAGAAACCTGAACAAACACCAGTATCCAGATTTTGCAGATGCGTCGAAAATTAAAGTGAAGATTTAACACCGGTAATGCAATAGAATACGTTTTATCGGTTGTTGCTATCATCTTCCATTACTGGTAATAAGGTGAGGGAGCCTATATCCAGCAGAGTGGTAAATGCAACAGTGGCCAGGCAGAAACTAAGGGGGGGTCCATTCTCAACTGCTGAGTGAACTGAAGTCGATCCGGAAATGACAGTTTGAGAATCATGTATACAATGAGGTAAATAACCAGTTTCTCTATGTTCCAGGTAAATATCATATCTTATTTACATCAGGGAATTGACAATTTTAGGCAAATGGTCTGTGGTGAGGGGAGATGAGCCGCAGACTTTGTCAGCAGGCTGTACACCCGCACAAAGACAACTGTAAGTTACTAGTCAGCTGACAGCCACACAGCTATGAATAAGCCAGTGATTGTGAAGCATGAATAAAACAGCTGATGCCAATCAGATAAAGCAAGCAGGACTTATATGATCCATATGATCAAAACACAATCAGATTAAGTAATGGCCACATCAAACGCTCATTGCTTTGCTAGCAATATACATATATCATTCAGTTTGGCATTGCTATTGTTTCATACAGTGATAACCAGATATTGAATTCATTATTGGCAAACCTCAGATTAAGCAGCCAATTTACGTGTCTCTATTTGGTCAAACAACTGGCCAGATCAATAACTAGCCATGACTGTTGACAGACAAGACTGTGAGGGCAGACCCTGATTTTCTCGTAGCGGATATGGCAAGTGATACAGGCGCTGGTTCTAGGACATTCTAGTAGAGATGCATGAGTGGAAGCGAAGCACAAGACATCCGAAGCTGTGACACATACAGCCTGAGGCTAAAACACAGAGGTCAACCAGTCCACCACGGCCCAGCAGAGCACACAGAGTATAATACAGCCTTAAAAATAAATGCTGACATAGGGATACTCTACAGCGACTAATGCACACAGTGTTTGATCAGGACGGTTGCTAATAAATTAGCGAGTAAAGGAATATTCAACAGCTTCATGAGCTAGACAACACAGTTTTATTAAGACAAATCCTATTGTATTGTTCATTTTTCAATAAAGCAAAAATGCTTCATAAGCTCTTAAAATGCTACCACAAGCTCTTACAGAACTACTGATGGAAAAAAAACATGATGAAATAATGCTACATTCTGAAAGGATAGCAAGTCCTTATATACAGCAGGATATTATTTTGAAGTCTTCATCTGTCCTTTAAACTATGCTCTCTCCTGGTACAATTAGTATATTTACAGAATCGTAACAGCAGAAGAGCAGGACACACAGGGTGACTGCTATTGCTACAGAGGTTTATCCTGGCCTTAGCACAAATACATGACAGAGAGGGAGTGGCAGAGCAGTAAAGGAGATTAGTCTGTTACTGGCAGAGCTTCATTACATTATGTGTGTGTGTATGTGTGTGTGTGTGTGTGGGTTTAAAACAATGGAAGCTTCAAATCATTAATAAACATTTGAGATCATCGCTGATTCGCAGGGATCCTCTGTCAAAGAAATGCCAGCAATAATGTCATCATCTTCACCATCTGAATTCAATTACTCAACCCTGCTGAGTTTCAGAGAATTACAAGAATTGTGAATGATGAAGGATGTTAAAGAGGAAAATGGAGGGAGTAAAAAGATTTATAAAAAAAGAAAAGGAGAAAAAAAAAGTCAAAGAGAAGCCTGGGGTATGTTCCACTCAGCTAAAGATCTCTCTTCTGGCTCTGTTTGGCCTTTTTAACACAGTGACAAATTAGAGCCACTGCCATGTGAAGAGTCTCTGTGATCTGCCTGTGTAACAATCCGAGTGTGTGTCAGGCAGAGAACGAGGGAAAGATAGATGAGGAAGGGCAACAAAGAGGCAAAGGGAGGCGGGGGCAGGGGGCGGGGTTGTTATTGTGAAAGGAAATATGAGTCTGTGTTGAGAGGAGAGCATGATATGCACTGTGCTGTAATGTGTGCCAGGGTAACAGGGTGGGGATGTGCACGATTATGTCAGAATGTGTAGGAGATGGAGAGGGAGTGGAGACAGGCAAACTGTAAGAGAAGGAAACGGAGGGTAAAAAAAATAGAGGCAAAAACAGGAACAGTCAGATAGAAGGGAGGAGAGCAGCAGGAGCAGACAGGGAGGTGGGTGGCTGGGTGTCTTTTATGAACATATTCAGGAACTCCTAACGTAGCAGGGACTAAAAAGATGAGTCAAATATGAATAACTATAGATATTTCAGACATGGTATCTCTAAGTGAGTGTTGTTTTTGCTGAGACTTTATGTGGGAGAGCATGCAACAATCGTATTGTTAATGCATTTCTTTTGAATAGTATGTTGCATCCATTTCTATAAGTACACTTTCCTAACTCTCTCCCATGCTCTCCCTCTATATGCGTATATGCGTGCGTGTTTCTGTATGCGCTTGAGTCCAGGTGTCAGTGGGGAGCCCTCCTACCCTGGCTGAAGGGGCTAATGTGAAGGCAGTTATGTGTGCATAACTGCCTTCAACTGTGACTAGTGCTGTACCGGACTCAGCTGACCCCCCTCAGGGAACCCCCCCGGTGCTAGCACGGCTCCCTCGGTTTATAAAACTGGTAGAACTAGCACTGCTGAGTACACACAAACACAGACACACACACACACACACAGACATAGAGAGAGAGAAAAAGTAACTCCAACTAGACATACACTGAATGAAATGTAAATGAAAATTCCTAATCCTCATAAACATCATGAACTATAATCATCAGTCATTGTTCAAACCCACAGAACCACATTTGAAATTGCATCGGGGATTGGACACCATATATGTCTGAAAATCTGAATCTAATAGATATATTCTATAGATTAGCATTTTTAAGAGCTGGACACATTTCTGAGGAGTTATTGAAGACAAGAATGCATCTTAAAGGAGAGTGAATATTGGACAGTATGTCAGGTGGAGAAATGTATGCTAATTCTACGTCTGCTGAATGTTTAACAGCTTTATAAGATGATCATATGTCAATGCCAGACAAAATTTGAAAGAACTTTTCAATCTGCAATTAAAGCTTTGCCTTCAAGTGCAAGGACTTATAATGTCGTGCCAGTGTGCAGTATAAACCAAGTCAAACCTGTCTGGACCACATCTGAACTACCCACATTTCAGTCAGTCCAGACCTGGGCAAAACTTAGATGCAGACAACAACATAGCTATTGAGCCTAATTACACTCTTTTTCAAATTTAACTACACCCTTCAATTCTGCCAGCTCCCTTCCTCTCAGCAAATAAAAAAATGCATCAGAGACCTGCAAAGGACATGACCTTGACACCGACCGCAGTGTAGCGGGAACAATAAGCTGGTAATCAGAGCTAACCAGAGCAGATGCTGTCACACTCACTGGAAACACAAGAGTCCGTTGTTGCTGTTGTTTCTACAGTCCGAACCACTGCGCCAGATTAGAAAAATAGTAAGTAGAGCAAAAACTAGCATAAACTCCTGTGAATGATGTATCTCGATCAGTACACATCTGAAAATGAGTGCAGTGGTTTTGGGTAGCTGCGGCTCAGAGGTAGAGCGGGTCGTCCACTAATCGGAAGGTTGCCGGTTCGAGATACTGAACCCCAAATTGCTCCGATCCTGCGTCATCGGTGTGTGAATGTGTGTGAAAGGGCAAATGTGGCATGTAGTGTAAAACCGCTTTGAGTGGTCAAAAGGCGCTATACAATCAAGTACAATCAAGGTCCATTTACCATTTACACACTTCCACTCAAAGCAGAGACTGGGGGAGGTGGGCTGCCCTCCTCTGATTAGAGGGTGTTAACACTTTAAAAAAAAAATAAATGTCATGATGTAAAGTAATCCAAAATGACGCTATCTCAGCATCGGCCTTGCAAAGTTCTGGCTGATTTAAAACAGTAGAGGGCATGTTGAGCTATTTTCAACCCACAACAAGCAGATTTTCATACATTTGGTAACAATGTCAATTTTAAAACCATAGTACATCATAGTACAGTCATATAATTCAGTCGCAGCTCAAAAACATGTTTTAGGGTGGAGCACTTCTTTAAAACACATTTATTTTTTAAAACAACACCCCAAACATTTGCTGTGTAATTCACATGCTGGGCCTCATTTTGCAGGTTGCGCTGTAACAGCAAAAAATGTGTGAGTACAGTAGGTCATCCTCTTTCTCTTCTGTTTTTTGCTACACCAGCATAAAAGGTGTGTGTAACTAGTTTACCTGAACATAGAGCAGGTTTAGCTGGACAGGGTCCCTCGAGTCCACGTTCTGGTCCGAATAGAAGAACTTGCGCCTGAGCAGCAGAGTCTCGCTTTCTTCCACTCCCTGCTCTCTGAATGTCCTGCTGTGGTCCAGCCAGTTCACTGCCAATCAATACACACACTCAGTTATCACATGCACTGAAATGAATAGACACTCACTTTACAAAGATGTTACTAGAGGAGGATACTGATGATGACAGACAATCTACCAAATTAATCACGGGGGAAGGGAAAATCTTGACGGGACATAAACAGCGTCATTTGCATTATTTTCTGCTGAGACTAAAGCTAGTTTTCAGCCAAAGTTGGAGGGTGATTTATATATTCGCATGTTTCAAAATTTAATTGGTGTCCTCTAGGGAAAAGATAACAGTGGTAATTTCATTAAACTTTGATATGTTCATGCAATAAATTATACTTTGGTGATAAAGCACACGTCCAAATGATGCCGTGGAGTCCGGCAATAAAATATGTGAAAATAAGAAAAGGGCTTAAAGCCATCAAGATATCAGAAACACCTCTGGAGGCTTTTGAAAGCTCACACTCACAGTCATCATCCGTGTGGAGTTTGGCTTTAAGCTTTTCCATCTTCCGCTCATCTCGTAGCAGCAGCGTTCGGTCTTTCTTCAGTGTCCCCATTCCATCCTCCTTCTTTTCCTCCGTCACCTCTTGAATCAGGGAGTACTCCTCATAGTTGGTGATTCCTGCGAGGGGGGCAAATAAGCCAGGGAATTCTCAGAGGAGGAGACACCTTAAACCGGCACAACAACTAATGCCATGATACAGAAAGTGTTTCTGTAATTCTCTGGCACTCTCTTTTTATCTCTTTCTCTCTGCTTTCAAACAGAAGTGAAGGAAAGCTGGTACAGAGCCAGAAAACTAAAATGGGAGACGAGGAGGAGAGGAAGCCAAGCAGAAAGACCGACTCTAAACAAACATTTTCCAATAAAGCTATCTGCCAGACACACATCCCTCTCCTCCTCACCCAATTGAGCTTGATAGCAGCCCATTATAATTGAAATATACTGCTTAGGGAACACCTCTGTGACAGGCAAGGATGGCACGGTTTTGCCCTTAGGAAGAACACTTCAGCATTTATTAGAAACAAGCTTGTTTGTGCTTGATAAATCATGCCCACTGCGCTCTAAACAAAAAGTGATTAGGACTTTATCAAGCGTACATGAATACTCCAAAGTAACAAATGTTGCTGTTTAAATATGAATTTAATGACATAATGTAACGTAGTATGAAGTCAAGTGGTATGCCATGGACTAAAAATAAAATAGAAGATAAATAATTCAAGTCTTCTACAATGGCTTGAAAAAATTCATAGTAGCAGTACTTGCAGAGTATCACTTACCTATTCTGCTGCATATGGTGACAAGCAGCTCCCCAACTGTTTTTGAGTCATCCACCATGATGGTTTTAACTGCACCGTCCAGCATTTTGATCTTTTGGGGCCTTTGTTTCTTCTTATACTCCAAGACATCCTGAGAAAATAGGAGAGGAAGCAGAATGACATCCACAACCCCCGCCGGACAGTAAACTAGCAGTCGCTCCCATCAAGCATGGAGGCAAACATCTCAGCTCCCACTAAAAAATGTAAATCACTTTAAGAGATGAGTGACACTGACAGTTCTCAACCCCAAACTACATGACTTAATCTTACTCCATTTCGCAGCATGTAGTAATCCAGGGTTCTTCCAGATTCAAGCCAGATTCCTTTCCTGGGATCATCGTCAGACAGGAAGAGGCCATAATCTGAAGCTGAAACACAAAGTGAAACACGGCATGCAAATGTTGATGCTTACAGATTTCCATTATGTAAATTACATTCTCTGAGTCATCCACCAACCTTGTCCTGTCTGAGCTTCTGGTACTCTCTCTCTGATGATCCTGCAGGCATCGTACACAGGCGTGGATGGTTCAAACTGCATCGTTTTCACCACATTGCACTGGCGGACACAGATCTTCAGCGACAAAGCCACCATCTTGCTGGGTAGTATAACGGTCTCGCCGACCTATACACCTGGAAAATACAGAAGTAGAAACATTATGTGAGGTTCAGAGTGTGTAAAGTCATACCGCAGGCTAATATCCTAAATAGGTGGCCTGTGTTATATACCGTGTCAATAGAAGGTTATTAAAATGTCCTCTCATAAAACAGTCATGCTTGAATACATGAAGAGGGAGTGTCAGAGGTAGAACACACAAGATACGGAACAAATCCTCACAATTATCTCCTTGGGGACATTTTTACTTGTGAAATTGAATGCGTGTTATACTGTTATGCTGCCTCAGTAGCTCCTCATTCTTCTTCCTTGCTGTTCTGATATTAAAGGGTTAAGCATATGAAAGGTTCTGCCTGATTGCAGTGTGTGTAGAATTAGCTGAACGACGAAGACAAGCGACCTAACCTTTCAGCGGAAAAAAACGGAAATAAGTGCAAATCTTTCTAATCGTCAGGAATAACAGAAGCCGAGCCAAAACATAGAACATGACATTCCACTGCAGCATCATTATTCGCTCTTCTCCTGGCTTGCACTCTCCCCCAGAAGCAGCAGACTTCACTGTGAGACAAATCAGTGGGTGTTTTGTCACATACTGCAATTAGGGTGAATCAATTCAGGTATTCTGAGACTCATATGTGCAAAAGAGGAAAGAGACTGATACTGCAGAGTGTTTCTCCTCTTCCTTGACCTTGGCTTCAACAGGGAGAGGGATGAACATGATAAATAAGACCATCTTTACCCAGGAGGCTCTTTGCCTCTTACTTAATCACATTATAGACCAAAAATCTAGTTGTTATTATTATTATTATTTATTTATTAAACAAGTATTGGTCTGTGACACATTCAAAGCCAACCCACCTCTACTAGAGAATATGGGCATATATATAGATTTAAGCATAGATTCAAGTTCCCAAGTACTGATGTTAGTATATTCTAGGGCCGCGACTAACTATTTTCAATATCAATTAATTAAATCTGTTGAATACTTTTGTCCTTTAATTGAAAATTAAACACCCAAGTTGGTATATTCAAATTGCTTATTAGTTATTATGATCAATATCATAGAAGACTACAATAATCACCAAATATTCATGTTTGAGAAACTGGAAGTGGACTTTTTGGTATTTTTTTCTTAAAAATGGACTGAAACAATTAATTGATTATCAAAGCAATGGCAGATAAATTGTACGGTGGTCAACTAAATGATTAATTAGGCCTGGGCAAAAAAACAATAGCATGTATCGGCACTAGACACTTCATCAATAGCAATAAGATAATTATTCAATAGAATATCGATGTGAAAATGCAATAAATGAAAACTGCCACGAAAGCACAAAGCGCACACGCCCTGGCTCATAAACATCACATATTCCTTGATAATGGAGTCATGACCTACATCTGTTACATTTCAAGAAACAATCCACAGGCAGTCCACGATGGAGAGGTACTCAGCAACAACATATGATAGAACATTAACATTAAAATGGTAGTTTTTTTCACCTGGTCTTTATTAAAAATAAGTCTGATCTATAATTATTAATTATCAACTGAATTAAACATTTTATTATGATTTTTTAATTATATTTTCAGCTACATCACCCGGCCTTACACCTAAGTGTTTCCACTCCACTACATTTCGAATCCTACTTCAAAACTAAAAGAACTTTACTATTTCTTTCTACAGCTGGATATGAAGGCAAAAGTTCAAACCGTCACACTGACACGATTCAAATCTCAGCCACACTTGGAAACAAGGGATTTTTTTGTGTTCAAGATTCACAGCTCATCCACAGGCCCCTTTCTGAACTGGAGCAGAGAATGTCTGAGAAGTAAATTTTCTGTAATGATGGAGTTGTGAATGAGCCCGTCTGTGACTGGGGCTCTGTCATGGCCATGGGTTCTTCTCCAACAGCTCCTTTCCTTCCCTCAGTTTTTTCTTCATACAAAGTGAGAAATACAAGCACAAAGAGGAAGGGGTAATGGCGCTGCATGAGCTCTTCTCTATACAGGCTGGCAGAGAATCCCCACCAAGTTTTTGTCATCCAGCTCTTTCACAGATACTCTCTTGTAGACAAGCAGCTTGAGATCCCAGACTGACAACGCTGTGGGCTCACAATGAAGACTCACAGGTAACAACACCCATCCACACACATATAGGTTGTGTGCATAACATTTCTGTATTTTTGTGGAAGCTTTGCAAGGTCCACCTCTGCCAAAAAAGCCAAAGCTAGTAGAGGACTGATTGTGAGTAGCAACACAGTAACGTCACTTCAGAGAGTACGCACTGAGGAAACCACATGATGAAACCCAGGAGGATAATGATAATCCCTGAGCTTACAGTAGTGTGAGAGCACATTTTTCACTAGGATCCTCGTGCAAACACTCAAATACAGCCAGCTCCTCATTAACTCTGCTTACAAGCATGGATGGCTCTACCTCTGAGAGAGGAGCAATGAGAAGCTACTCACTTATGTGACTCTCTGTTGAATCTTATTTATTTTATAACCCTTTCTAGATCACTAGGTAGACCCTAAAAATGTAATTTCAACACACTATCTCCCATGACAATCGCTAGTCCATCAGAAAGAGTCCTGCTTTGAATTAGATTTGTTCACTACTCTAAATATTAAGACATGAAAATGGCCAAAGAGCAGCTTGCTGGGGAGTCTAAACATGGACAATTCAATAGAGACCAGGGAAGGCAGGAGCCATCTGGAGAGGATACAGCTCTAATGATTGACTGTAATACCAGCAGCAGTGCACAGCCTGAGAGCAACAACTGCTGCGATTACTGCATCAGTCTGTCACACAGCAACCAAGGAGGTGGCTCGACAGGAAACATTGCTGGTCCAGGACTGAGCAGTTTGTTTGGACCAGTGTTCCAAAATGCATCTGATAGAACAACAAATCTGAAGCAGAATGACCTCTGAGAGCATAACAGGGTGTGGATGAGAATGAATAACATTCCTTCAAGGGCACCACGCAACAAGGCTGTACAGGGGGTGCTTCAATTTTGTGGTTTTTATTTGATCAATACCAGAGTGAATGCCTGCATGTTTCTTGTGCGACATGCAGAGTAGAACAAAGACAACAAGAGATAGGTCTAGGCTACCACAACCATTATTTCCAGCTGTGAAGAGCATAAGCGCTTTACAGCTGATTTGAACGTATTAAATGAAAAAATCAAATGGCAATTACTGTACTGTATGTGTCACCCATGCTGCACAAGATTGTCCCCCACAATTACACCAGATGTCAGAGTACAGTAGTCTACTAAATGAATTTGTGGATTGCATTTTGTGAATTACAAAATATGTTCTAAAAACAAACGAAAAAGCCAAAGATCTATGAGTACAAAGGACAAAGACATGGCATTGTAATTACTTATTCTATTATTCTTTATTCTTTATATGGATCCCCATTAGCAGCAACTCTTGCTGGGGTTTACACACAACAAAATCTACATATAAAACAAGACAAGAAAAATTCATTACTGCAGGAACCTTCCTGACCTATAAAACACTGCAAAAGAAAACATAATAAAAGAAAAACAGTTAAATTAGAATGGAAAACAATAAATGTACATTGTATATAATTCCTTTAAAGAACAAAATCTAAACCATCCCCACACATGGCTACAGGATTTCCAAGGTCAGCCCATTAAACTGCGATCACAGGACAAACAGTAATGATTCCCTGGTAAACAAGATATTTTAGACCACGTTCAGACTGCAGG